TGTAGATCGGAGCGAGGAAAGCGGAGCGAACGGAGCGGAGAGACCGAAGAGAGTAGAGCAGAAAACACTTGCCCAATAGTTAGAAGATTCGAAAGTGATTGATTATCGGGGCTTACTACTTACTACATGATTTATATGTGGTGTACATGTTGACGGTCATCGGTTTTCTACCAGTATTGGTAACCGTGACCGATCCAATCCGAACCGCCTGTTCAGCTTAGTATTTACGACGTAGTTCTTACGGTAATTACCATAGTTGATTAGACGCGTAGGATGATGAGACGCTTCACATGATTTATATGTACACCACATATAAATCATGTAGTAAGTAGTAAGCCCCGATAATCAATCACTTTCGAATCTTCCAACTATTGGGCAAGTGTTTTCTGCTCTACTCTCTTCGGTCTCTCCGCTCCGTTCGCTCCGCTTTCCTCGCTCCGATCTACAATGCAACAGGTTATGAGCCCAAGCGCCATGTCGTCCACCAGCAACGCCTCCATTGACAAGTTCAACGGAGACAATTACGCAACGTGGAGCCGGTACATGCGCGGTGTGTTTTTGACGAAGTCCGTCTGGCACGTCGTCAACCGTGAAGTGACTCCGACTTTCACCGACCCGCGAGCGTCCGATGACTACGTCAAGGCAAGCAACGTCGCGTTTGGTATGATGCTGCTGCACATTGAACGCGGACTACCATCATGTGCTGGACAACTGCGAGGAAGCCTGGGTTGCGTGGACAAGTCTGAAGACGCTGTACGGTGGGTCGCAGAAGGCAGGACGCATCTACCTCAAGCGACAACTTTTCAGTATCAAGATGGCTGAAGGCGCGAACGTCATGCATCACTGCAACGAGGTCCTCAACATCTCCGCCAAGCTCAGCGGCATCGGTGCGAAGATGGAAGACGAAGGCGTTGCAATTTGTCTGCTACTCAGTCTTCCGAAGAGCTACGAAAATGTGGTGCTCAACATGGAAATGAGCAGCACCGAGCTTCGCACTCAAGATGTGGTGAGAGTCCTGACGAATGAGCATGCCAAGCGTCAAGGAGAAAAAGGGACAACGACAGCGACTACGGTGAAGGCTGAAGATGCAAGCAGGGCATTCAGCGCCGAGCGTGAGCCCTACCAATGCACGTATTGTGGCAAGGTGGGACACACGGTGGATCGTTGCTGGACAAAGCAGAAGAACGAAGGTCGGGGAGCCCGACGCGGCGGCAATGGTCGTGGACGCGGGGCTAACAATGTCCAGTGGGGACATCATGATGAAGGTAATGGCTACGATCGAGTGGCGCTTGCAGTCTCGTTCGAATGTGGAGTTTCGACGAGCATGGACGTGTCTGGAATGTGGGCCGTCGACAGTGGTGCAACGCACCACATTTGCCACGACAAGACCAAGTTCGCAAGTTTGGCAGAGCGCAATGAGGGCGAACTCTTGGTGGCTGATGGCAACAAGGTGGCCATCAAGGGTGTGGGAACCATAATGGAAAAGGTGGTTCTGCCCAACGGTGAAGAGCGTGAGATCGAAATCAAAGAACGCGCTATATGTTCCAAGTATGAGCAAGAACCTGCTCTCGGTACCACAGATTAACAGCCATGGCAAGTTTCAAGTCGTGTTTGACGGGTCCCAAGATGTATGTGACTCTCGAGAACTCACAGCAAGTGGTGGCGACAGCGGATCTCGTGGATGGACTCTACTGGCTTCGGACGACTCAACGATCAGCGAATGTGACAACAAGTGGAACCAGTTGTGCCGATCTACATGCGAGAATGGGTCATGCTCCAGTCGATGTACTTCGCAAGATGATCGCGACCAACATGATCAAGGATGTGCGAGTCCCTCTCAAGTCGGGTGGAGCAACTACATGTCGAGGATGTCAACAAGGGAAAATGGTCCAAAAACCATTTCCAAGCAACCGAGACAAGCGCAGCTACGATACGTTTGAGCTACTTCATCTGGACATCTGCGGGCCCATGGAAAAGGATTCGCTCGGTGGCAGCAAATATTTGCTGCTGATCATCGACGAAGCCAGTGGATGCATGAAGGGCTTTTGTCTACGAGTGAAGTCCGAGAGTGAAGACTACATCCGGAAATATATCACCATGGTACAGACGCAATTCTGTAAGAAGGTCAAGTTCGTGCGACACGACGGAGCTCGCGAGTTTGCAACCAACTCGCTTCAACTGTTCTACGAAGACGAAGGCATTGAACAGCAGACAACGGTGCCGTATGCACATCAAACAAACGGAACAGCAGAGCGTGCCATTAGGACTATTGTCACGATCGGTGTATTGTTGATCGTGCCAAACTGGAGCGAGGCGGGCCGAAGGAGCGAACGGAGCGGAGACGACGCGAGAAAGTAGAGCAGAAAACACTTTGATATAGTCACACTTGGAACCAGCGTCAAGGATGGAAGATTCGGGTGTCAGGCTTACTACTTACGCCTAAAGGGAGTGACTATGTGGGGTCCAAGTGCTACATGTATAAATCATGGGTAGAAGCACTCTCCAATGCATCCTACGGTCATCTGGTATTCAACCGTATTGGTAACCGTAAGAACTACTCGTACTAAGCTGAACTGCGTGTTCAGCTTAGGATGTGACAGAGTGGTCGGATTGGACGGTCACGTTACCATACTGGGTTAGACCGAAAACGATGACCGTCAACATGTACACCACATATAAATCATGTAGTAAGTAGTAAGCCCCGATAATCAATCACTTTCGAATCTTCTAACTATTGGGCAAGTGTTTTCTGCTCTACTCTCTTCGGTCTCTCCGCTCCGTTCGCTCCGCTTTCCTCGCTCCGATCTACAATGCAACAGGTTATGAGCCCAAGCGCCATGTCGTCCACCAGCAACGCCTCCATTGACAAGTTCAACGGAGACAATTACGCAACGTGGAGCCGGTACATGCGCGGTGTGTTTTTGACGAAGTCCGTCTGGCACGTCGTCAACCGTGAAGTGACTCCGACTTTCACCGACCCGCGAGCGTCCGATGACTACGTCAAGGCAAGCAACGTCGCGTTTGGTATGATGCTGCTGCACATGAACGCGGACTACCATCATGTGCTGGACAACTGCGAGGAAGCCTGGGTTGCGTGGACAAGTCTGAAGACGCTGTACGGTGGGTCGCAGAAGGCAGGACGCATCTACCTCAAGCGACAACTTTTCAGTATCAAGATGGCTGAAGGCGCGAACGTCATGCATCACTGCAACGAGGTCCTCAACATCTCCGCCAAGCTTAGCGGCATCGGTGCGAAGATGGAAGACGAAGACGTTGCAATTTGTCTGCTACTCAGTCTTCCGAAGAGCTACGAAAATGTGGTGCTCAACATGGAAATGAGCAGCACCGAGCTTCGCACTCAAGATGTGGTGAGAGTCCTGACGAATGAGCATGCCAAGCGTCAAGGAGAAAAAGGGACAACGACAGCGACTACGGTGAAGGCTGAAGATGCAAGCAAGGCATTCAGCGCCGAGCGTGAGCCCTACCAATGCACGTATTGTGGCAAGGTGGGACACACGGTGGATCGTTGCTGGACAAAGCAGAAGAACGAAGGTCAGGGAGCCCGACGCGGCGGCAATGGTCGTGGACGCGGGGCTAACAATGTCCAGTGGGGACATCATGATGAAGGTAATGGCTACGATCGAGTGGCGTTTGCAGTCTCGTTCGAATGTGGAGTTTCGACGAGCATGGACGTGTCTGGAATGTGGGCCGTCGACAGTGGTGCAACGCACCACATTTGCCACGACAAGACCAAGTTCGCAAGTTTGGCAGAGCGCAATGAGGGCGAACTCTTGGTGGCTGATGGCAACAAGGTGGCCATCAAGGGTGTGGGAACCATCATGGAAAAGGTGGTTCTGCCCAACGGTGAAGAGCGTGAGATCGAAATCAAGAACGCGCTATATGTTCCAAGTATGAGCAAGAACCTGCTCTCGGTACCACAGATTAACAGCCATGGCAAGTTTCAAGTCGTGTTTGACGGGTCCAAGATGTATGTGACTCTCAAGAACTCACAGCAAGTGGTGGCGACAGCGGATCTCGTGGATGGACTCTACTGGCTTCGGACGACTCAACGATCAGCGAATGTGACAACAAGTGGAACCAGTTGTGCCGATCTACATGCGAGAATGGGTCATGCTCCAGTCGATGTACTTCGCAAGATGATCGCGACCAACATGATCAAGGATGTGCGAGTCCCTCTCAAGTCGGGTGGAGCAACTACATGTCGAGGATGTCAACAAGGGAAAATGGTCCAAAAACCATTTCCAAGCAACCGAGACAAGCGCAGCTACGATACGTTTGAGCTACTTCATCTGGACATCTGCGGGCCCATGGAAAAGGATTCGCTCGGTGGCAGCAAATATTTGCTGCTGATCATCGACGAAGCCAGTGGATGCATGAAGGAGCTTTTGTCTACGAGTGAAGTCCGAGAGTGAAGACTACATCCGGAAATATATCACCATGGTACAGACGCAATTCTGTAAGAAGGTCAAGTTCGTGCGACACGACGGAGCTCGCGAGTTTGCAACCAACTCGCTTCAACTGTTCTACGAAGACGAAGGCATTGAACAGCAGACAACGGTGCCGTATGCACATCAAACAAACGGAACAGCAGAGCGTGCCATTAGGACTATTGTCACGATCGGTGTTGCATGCTAGATCATGCGATGGACAAGAGCGGAGCCGAAGCAGCGAAGACGGCATAGAGATAGACGCCGAAAAGTCGTGCCCAATATTTGAGATCGTCAACATTGAAACCGAGTCAGATTGATTTTATTCGGGTGTAGACTTACTACTTACGCATAAAGTGATTGATTATGTGGTGTACAAATCGGTGCATATTCATGCTACGCGTCTAATCAACTTATGGTCATCGTTTACCGTAAGAACTACGTCGTAAATACTAAGCTGAACAGGCGGTTCGATTGGATTCGAGTGTTCACGGTTTACCATACTGGATTAGACTGGTAGAACACCGATGACCGTCAACACATGACACCACATATAAATCATGTAGTAAGTAGTAAGCCCCGATAATCAATCACTTTCGAATCTTCTAACTATTGGGCAAGTGTTTTCTGCTCTACTCTCTTCGGTCTCTCCGCTCCGTTCGCTCCGCTTTCCTCGCTCCGATCTACAATGCAATAGGTTATGAGCCCAAGCGCCATGTCGTCCACCAGCAACGCCTCCATTGACAAGTTCAACGGAGACAATTACGCAACGTGGAGCCGGTACATGCGCGGTGTGTTTTTGACGAAGTCCGTCTGGCACGTCGTCAACCGTGAAGTGACTCCGACTTTCACCGACCCGCGAGCGTCCGATGACTACGTCAAGGCAAGCAACGTCGCGTTTGGTATGATGCTGCTGCACATGAACGCGGACTACCATCATGTGCTGGACAACTGCGAGGAAGCCTGGGTTGCGTGGACAAGTCTGAAGACGCTGTACGGTGGGTCGCAGAAGGCAGGACGCATCTACCTCAAGCGACAACTTTTCAGTATCAAGATGGCTGAAGGCGCGAACGTCATGCATCACTGCAACGAGGTCCTCAACATCTCCGCCAAGCTTAGCGGCATCGGTGCGAAGATGGAAGACGAAGACGTTGCAATTTGTCTGCTACTCAGTCTTCCGAAGAGCTACGAAAATGTGGTGCTCAACATGGAAATGAGCAGCACCGAGCTTCGCACTCAAGATGTGGTGAGAGTCTGACGAATGAGCATGCCAAGCGTCAAGGAGAAAAAGGGACAACGACAGCGACTACGGTGAAGGCTGAAGATGCAAGCAAGGCATTCAGCGCCGAGCGTGAGCCCTACCAATGCACGTATTGTGGCAAGGTGGGACACACGGTGGATCGTTGCTGGACAAAGCAGAAGAACGAAGGTCGGGGAGCCCGACGCGGCGGCAATGGTCGTGGACGCGGGGCTAACAATGTCCAGTGGGGACATCATGATGAAGGTAATGGCTACGATCGAGTGGCGTTTGCAGTCTCGTTCGAATGTGGAGTTTCGACGAGCATGGACGTGTCTGGAATGTGGGCCGTCGACAGTGGTGCAACGCACCACATTTGCCACGACAAGACCAAGTTCGCAAGTTTGGCAGAGCGCAATGAGGGCGAACTCTTGGTGGCTGATGGCAACAAGGTGGCCATCAAGGGTGTGGGAACCATAATGGAAAAGGTGGTTCTGCCCAACGGTGAAGAGCGTGAGATCGAAATCAAGAACGCGCTATATGTTCCAAGTATGAGCAAGAACCTGCTCTCGGTACCACAGATTAACAGCCATGGCAAGTTTCAAGTCGTGTTTGACGGGTCCAAGATGTATGTGACTCTCAAGAACTCACAGCAAGTGGTGGCGACAGCGGATCTCGTGGATGGACTCTACTGGCTTCGGACGACTCAACGATCAGCGAATGTGACAACAAGTGGAACCAGTTGTGCCGATCTACATGCGAGAATGGGTCATGCTCCAGTCGATGTACTTCGCAAGATGATCGCGACCAACATGATCAAGGATGTGCGAGTCCCTCTCAAGTCGGGTGGAGCAACTACATGTCGAGGATGTCAACAAGGGAAAATGGTCCAAAAACCATTTCCAAGCAACCGAGACAAGCGCAGCTACGATACGTTTGAGCTACTTCATCTGGACATCTGCGGGCCCATGGAAAAGGATTCGCTCGGTGGCAGCAAATATTTGCTGCTGATCATCGACGAAGCCAGTGGATGCATGAAGGGCTTTTGTCTACGAGTGAAGTCCGAGAGTGAAGACTACATCCGGAAATATATCACCATGGTACAGACGCAATTCTGTAAGAAGGTCAAGTTCGTGCGACACGACGGAGCTCGCGAGTTTGCAACCAACTCGCTTCAACTGTTCTACGAAGACGAAGGCATTGAACAGCAGACAACGGTGCCGTATGCACATCAAACAAACGGAACAGCAGAGCGTGCCATTAGGACTATTGTCACGATCGGTTGATTGGATCAGGCGAGGAAGCGGAGCGAACGGGAGCGGGAGGAAGAGATAGAGCAGAAAAGACTTGCCCAATAGTTGGAAGATTCTGAAATGTGATTGATTATTCGGGGCTACTACTTACTACCATGATTTATATGTGGTGTACATATAAATCATGTGAAGCACATCTCATCATCCTACGCGTCTAATCAACTATGGTAACTTACCGTAAGAACTACGCCGTAAATACTAAGCTGAACAGGCGGTTCGGATTGGATCGGTCACGGTTACCAATACTGGTAGAAAACCGATGACCGTCAACATGTACACCACATATAAATCATGTAGTAAGTAGTAAGCCCCGATAATCAATCACTTTCGAATCTTCTAACTATTGGGCAAGTGTTTTCTGCTCTACTCTCTTCGGTCTCTCCGCTCCGTTCGCTCCGCTTTCCTCGCTCCGATCTACAATGCAACAGGTTATGAGCCCAAGCGCCATGTCGTCCACCAGCAACGCCTCCATTGACAAGTTCAACGGAGACAATTACGCAACGTGGAGCCGGTACATGCGCGGTGTGTTTTTGACGAAGTCCGTCTGGCACGTCGTCAACCGTGAAGTGACTCCGACTTTCACCGACCCGCGAGCGTCCGATGACTACGTCAAGGCAAGCAACGTCGCGTTTGGTATGATGCTGCTGCACATGAACGCGGACTACCATCATGTGCTGGACAACTGCGAGGAAGCCTGGGTTGCGTGGACAAGTCTGAAGACGCTGTACGGTGGGTCGCAGAAGGCAGGACGCATCTACCTCAAGCGACAACTTTTCAGTATCAAGATGGCTGAAGGCGCGAACGTCATGCATCACTGCAACGAGGTCCTCAACATCTCCGCCAAGCTTAGCGGCATCGGTGCGAAGATGGAAGACGAAGACGTTGCAATTTGTCTGCTACTCAGTCTTCCGAAGAGCTACGAAAATGTGGTGCTCAACATGGAAATGAGCAGCACCGAGCTTCGCACTCAAGATGTGGTGAGAGTCCTGACGAATGAGCATGCCAAGCGTCAAGGAGAAAAAGGGACAACGACAGCGACTACGGTGAAGGCTGAAGATGCAAGCAAGGCATTCAGCGCCGAGCGTGAGCCCTACCAATGCACGTATTGTGGCAAGGTGGGACACACGGTGGATCGTTGCTGGACAAAGCAGAAGAACGAAGGTCAGGGGAGCCCGACGCGGCGGCAATGGTCGTGGACGCGGGGCTAACAATGTCCAGTGGGGACATCATGATGAAGGTAATGGCTACGATCGAGTGGCGTTTGCAGTCTCGTTCGAATGTGGAGTTTCGACGAGCATGGACGTGTCTGGAATGTGGGCCGTCGACAGTGGTGCAACGCACCACATTTGCCACGACAAGACCAAGTTCGCAAGTTTGGCAGAGCGCAATGAGGGGCGAACTCTTGGTGGCTGATGGCAACAAGGTGGCCATCAAGGGTGTGGGAACCATAATGGAAAAGGTGGTTCTGCCCAACGGTGAAGAGCGTGAGATCGAAATCAAGAACGCGCTATATGTTCCAAGTATGAGCAAGAACCTGCTCTCGGTACCACAGATTAACAGCCATGGCAAGTTTCAAGTCGTGTTTGACGGGTCCAAGATGTATGTGACTCTCAAGAACTCACAGCAAGTGGTGGCGACAGCGGATCTCGTGGATGGACTCTACTGGCTTCGGACGACTCAACGATCAGCGAATGTGACAACAAGTGGAACCAGTTGTGCCGATCTACATGCGAGAATGGGTCATGCTCCAGTCGATGTACTTCGCAAGATGATCGCGACCAACATGATCAAGGATGTGCGAGTCCCTCTCAAGTCGGGTGGAGCAACTACATGTCGAGGATGTCAACAAGGGAAAATGGTCCAAAAACCATTTCCAAGCAACCGAGACAAGCGCAGCTACGATACGTTTGAGCTACTTCATCTGGACATCTGCGGGCCCATGGAAAAGGATTCGCTCGGTGGCAGCAAATATTTGCTGCTGATCATCGACGAAGCCAGTGGATGCATGAAGGGCTTTTGTCTACGAGTGAAGTCCGAGAGTGAAGACTACATCCGGAAATATATCACCATGGTACAGACGCAATTCTGTAAGAAGGTCAAGTTCGTGCGACACGACGGAGCTCGCGAGTTTGCAACCAACTCGCTTCAACTGTTCTACGAAGACGAAGGCATTGAACAGCAGACAACGGTGCCGTATGCACATCAAACAAACGGAACAGCAGAGCGTGCCATTAGGACTATTGTCACGATCGGCCGCAGCATGCTTCATCATGCCAAACTGGACAAGTGTTTCTGGGCCGAAGCAGCGATGACGGCCATCTACGTCAAGAATCGACTGCCGTCACCTAAAGTCGTGCACAAGACCCCCGTTTGAGATCGTCTACAACTTGAAACCAAGCGTCAAGCACATGCGAACATTCGGGTGTCAGACATACATACTGACGCCTAAAGAGAATCGACTCAAGTGGGATCCAAAGGCTCGCGCTGGCATATTCGTGGGCTACGAAGAAGTTTCGAAGGCATATCGTGTTTATGACATCGAGGCGGGGCAGGTGGTTATCAGCCGCGATGTCAACTTCGACCGAAGTCCACCTTTGGACTTCAACTGCCGATCACTGATGAAGATGTCGATGACCTGGACTTCGAATTGCTGGATCTTGATGACGAAGAGCTGCGTCAAATGGAGTACAAGCAAACAGGCAAGCGCAAGAACCGACTCAATGATGAAGATACAGCAGCTCCACGACCGCGTGCAGTGCGTCAACGACCAGGACTAGAAGAGTCAAGCGCGCCGGAAAAGCAACTCGTCACGACAAGAAGAAGACGAAGAAACGAAGGATTCTGGTGATTCAACACCGCCTGTGTTTTGGCGTGCGAGTGCAAATGCCGTTGAAGCAGCAGTGGACTTATCAAGAACCCTCAACATTTGAAGACAGCAAGTAAGCGCGCCCTGACCAAGTGCACTGGAGAAAAGCAATTCATGCAGAGCTCGAGTCAATGCGACTTCGCGGTGTGTTTCGTGCAGCCAAGCTGCCCAACGGACAACGCGCCATTGGCACAAAATGGGTGTTCAAGATCAAGCGCAAGGCGGATGGGTCAATCGAGAAGTACAAGGCACGACTTGTGGCCAAGGGTTTCCGCCAAAAGTATGGCATCGACTACACGGAGACGTTTTCGCCTGTGGTCAAGTATGTGACGCTGCGAATGGTGATCGCAATTTCCAAGCATTTTGGATGGCCCATCGACCAGCTTGATGTGGTGACAGCTTTCCTGTATGGCGTCATGAAGGAACAAGTGTTCTGCGTGATTCCTGAAGGCGTCGAACTTGACAGTACGTTCGACTGCCTGGAATTGGTGAAGTCAATTTACGGCCTCAAGCAAGCGTCGCGAGTGTGGAACGAGACGTTCGACGAGTATGTGTGCTCCATCGGATTTCAAGTATCGGACTTCGACCCATGTCTCTACATCAAGACTTCGGACGGCCATTGCGTGTTTATACTGGTCTACGTGGACGACGTCTTGGTGACTGGAAGCTCGCTCGAGCTGATTGCACAAACCAAGAACGACCTGAAGACGCGGTTCGAAATGACGGACAGCGGCAAGTGTGCGTTTGTTCTTGGGATCGAGCTTTTGGACGGTGAAGATGGCAGTGTGACACTATGTCAGCGTCGGTATGTCGATGATATCCTCAAGCGCTTTGGCATGGATGATTGCAAGGCAGTCGCAAGTCCAGTCGACATGAGCTCTCGACTTGTTTCAAGTGATGCAACTACCAAGGTCGATGCTCCTTTTCGCGAAGCTGTTGGTGCGTTGATGCACCTGACCACTGCAACGCGTCCGGACATTGCGTTTGCTGTGGGCTATGTGTCGCGGTTCATGGAAAATCCCCAAGAAGAACACTGGGTTGCAGTTAAGCGTATCTTTCGCTACCTACAAGGCACCAAGACGCATGGAATTTGCTACAAGCCAAGTGCAAGGATCGACTTCCGTGGATATTCGGATGCGGATTGGGCTGGTGATCTTACCGACCGCAAGTCAACATCGGGGTACACGTTCATGCTACTCGGTGCGCCAGTCAGTTGGGGCAGCAAGAAGCAGCCAAGTGTTTCGTTGTCCACGAGTGAAGCCGAATACATCGCACTCAGCTTGGCGATTCAAGAGGGCAAGTGGATTCATCGTCTGCTTTGTGAGATCGTGATGGCTGCCAATGAAGAAGGACCGGAACTCATGATCCATGAAGACAATCAGTCATGTATCAAGATGACGAAGAACCCAGTCAACCATGGCCGTGCCAAGCACATTGACATCAAGTACCATCACATCCGTGATGAGGTCAAGCGCGGCCAAGTCAAGCTCAAGTACTGTGAGACTGCGGTGATGTTAGCAGACATCATGACCAAGGCACTTCATGGACCACGCCACAAGGAGATGACGACGGCTCTCGGGATTCGTGAGCATTCGGATTGAGGGGGCGTGTTGACGGTCATCGGTTTTCTACCAGTATTGGTAACCGTGACCGATCCAATCCGAACCGCCTGTTCAGCTTAGTATTTACGACGTAGTTCTTACGGTAATTACCATAGTTGATTAGACGCGTAGGATGATGAGACGCTTCACATGATTTATATGTACACCACATATAAATCATGTAGTAAGTAGTAAGCCCCGATAATCAATCACTTTCGAATCTTCCAACTATTGGGCAAGTGTTTTCTGCTCTACTCTCTTCGGTCTCTCCGCTCCGTTTGCTCCGCTTTCCTCGCTCCGATCTACAATGCAACACAAGTGTTTCGTTGTCCACGAGTGAAGCCGAATACATCGCACTCAGCTTGGCGATTCAAGAGGGCAAGTGGATTCATCGTCTGCTTTGTGAGATCGTGATGGCTGCCAATGAAGAAGGACCGGAACTCATGATCCATGAAGACAATCAGTCGTGTATCAAGATGACGAAGAACCCAGTCAACCACGGCCGTGCCAAGCACATTGATATCAAGTACCATCACATCCGTGATGAGGTCAAGCGCGGTGAAGTGAAGCTCAAGTACTGTGAAACTGCGGTGATGTTAGCGGACATCATGACGAAGGGACTTCACGGGCCACGCCACAAGGAGATGACGGCGACTCTCGGGATTCGTGAGCATTCGGATTGAGGGGGCGTGTTGACGGTCATCGGTTTTCTACCAGTATTGGTAACCGTGACCGATCCAATCCGAACCGCCTGTTCAGCTTAGTATTTACGACGTAGTTCTTACGGTAATTACCATAGTTGATTAGACGCGTAGGATGATGAGACGCTTCACATGATTTATATGTACACCACATATAAATCATGTAGTAAGTAGTAAGCCCCGATAATCAATCACTTTCGAATCTTCCAACTATTGGGCAAGTGTTTTCTGCTCTACTCTCTTCGGTCTCTCCGCTCCGTTTGCTCCGCTTTCCTCGCTCCGATCTACACTGCAACAAAACTTGTTCGTAGCCCACGAATATGCCAGCGCGAGCCTTTGGATCCCACTTGAGTCGATTCTCTTTAGGCGTCAGTATGTATGTCTGACACCCGAATGTTCGCATGTGCTTGACGCTTGGTTTCAAGTTGTAGACGATCTCAAACGGGGTCTTGTGCACGACTTTAGGTGACGGCAGTCGATTCTTGACGTAGATGGCCGTCATCGCTGCTTCGGCCCAGAAACACTTGTCCAGTTTGGCATGATGAAGCATGCTGCGGCCGATCGTGACAATAGTCCCTAATGGCACGCTCTGCTGTTCCGTTTGTTTGATGTGCATACGGCACCGTTGTCTGCTGTTCAATGCCTTCGTCTTCGTAGAACAGTTGAAGCGAGTTGGTTGCAAACTCGCGAGCTCCGTCGTGTCGCACGAACTTGACCTTCTTACAGAATTGCGTCTGTACCATGGTGATATATTTCCGGATGTAGTCTTCACTCTCGGACTTCACTCGTAGACAAAAGCCCTTCATGCATCCACTGGCTTCGTCGATGATCAGCAGCAAATATTTGCTGCCACCGAGCGAATCCTTTTCCATGGGCCCGCAGATGTCCGGATGAAGTAGCTCAAACGTATCGTAGCTGCGCTTGTCTCGGTTGCTTGGAAATGGGTTTTGGACCATTTTCCCTTGCTGACATCCTCGACATGTACCTGCTCCACTTGACTTGAGAGGCACTCCCACATCTTTGATCATGTTGTTGGAGACCATCTTGCGAAGCACGTCGACTGTAGCATGACCCATTCTCGCATGTAGATCGGCACAACTGGTTCCACTTGTTGTCACATTCGCTGATCGTTGAGTCGTCCGAAGCCAGTAGAGTCCATCCACGAGATCCGCTGTCGCCACCACTTGCTGTGAGTTCTTGAGAGTCACATACATCTTGGACCCGTCAAACACGACTTGAAACTTGCCATGGCTGTTAATCTGTGGCACCGAGAGCAGGTTCTTGCTCATACTTGGAACATATAGCGCGTTCTTGATTTCGATCTCACGCTCTTCACCGTTGGGCAGAACCACCTTTTCCATGATGGTTCCCACACCCTTGATGGCCACCTTGTTGCCATCAGCCACAAGAGTTCGCCCTCATTGCGCTCTGCCAAACTTGCGAACTTGGTCTTGTCGTGGCAAATGTGGTGCGTTGCACCACTGTCGACGGCCCACATTCCAGACACGTCCTTGCTCGTCGAAACTCCACATTCGAACGAGACTGCAAACGCCACTCGATCGTAGCCATTGCCTTCATCATGATGTCCCCACTGGACATTGTTAGCCCCCGCGTCCACGACCATTGCTGCCGCGTCGGGCTCCCCGACCTTCGTTCTTCTGCTTTGTCCAGCAACGATCCACCGTGTGTCCCACCTTGCCACAATACGTGCATTGGTAGGGCTCACGCTCGGCGCTGAATGCCTTGCTTGCATCTTCAGCCTTCACCGTAGTCGCTGTCGTTGTCCCTTTTTCTCCTTGACGCTTGGCATGCTCATTCGTCAGGACTCTCACCACATCTTGAGTGCGAAGCTCGGTGCTGCTCATTTCCATGTTGAGCACCACATTTTCGTAGCTCTTCGGAAGACTGAGTAGCAGACAAATTGCAACGTCTTCGTCTTCCATCTTCGCACCGATGCCGCTAAGCTTGGCGGAGATGTTGAGGACCTCGTTGCAGTGATGCATGACGTTCGCGCCTTCAGCCATCTTGATACTGAAAAGTTGTCGCTTGAGGTAGATGCGTCCTGCCTTCTGCGACCCACCGTACAGCGTCTTCAGACTTGTCCACGCAACCCAGGCTTCCTCGCAGTTGTCCAGCACATGATGGTAGTCCGCGTTCATGTGCAGCAGCATCATACCAAACGCGACGTTGCTTGCCTTGACGTAGTCATCGGACGCTCGCGGGTCGGTGAAAGTCGGAGTCACTTCACGGTTGACAACGTGCCAGACGGACTTCGTCAAAAACACACCGCGCATGTACCGGCTCCACGTTGCGTAATTGTCTCCGTTGAACTTGTCAATGGAGGCGTTGCTGGTGGACGACATGGCGCTTGGGCTCATAACCTGTTGCATTGTAGATCGGAGCGAGGAAAGCGGAGCAAACGGAGCGGAGAGACCGAAGAGAGTAGAGCAGAAAACACTTGCCCAATAGTTGGAAGATTAGAAAGTGATTGATTATCGGGGCTTACTACTTACTACATGATTTATATGTGGTGTACATATAAATCATGTGAAGCGTCTCATCATCCTACGCGTCTAATCAACTATGGTAATTACCGTAAGAACTACGTCGTAAATACTAAGCTGAACAGGCGGTTCGGATTGGATCGGTCACGGTTACCAATACTGGTAGAAAACCGATGACCGTCAACAAAGGCATATCGTGTTTATGACATCGAGGCGGGGCAGGTGGTTATCAGCCGCGATGTCAACTTCGACGAGTCCACCTTTGGACTTCAACTGCCGATCACTGATGAAGATGTCGATGACCTGGACTTCGAATTGCTGGATCTTGATGACGAAGAGCTGCGTCAAATGGAGTACAAGCAAACAGGCAAGCGCAAGAACCGACTCAATGATGAAGATACAGCAGCTCCACGACCGCGTGCAGTGCGTCAACGACCAGGACTAGAAGAGTCAAGCGCGCCGGAAAACAACTCGTCACGCCAAGAAGAAGACGAAGAAACGAAGGATTCTGGTGATTCAACACCGCCTGTGTTTTGGCGTGCGAGTGCAAATGCCGTTGAAGCAGCAGTGGACTTATCAGAGCCCTCAACATTTGAAGCAGCAGTAAGCGGCCCTGACCAAGTGCACTGGAGAAAAGCAATTCATGCAGAGCTCGAGTCAATGCGACTTCGCGGTGTGTTTCGTGCAGCCAAGCTGCCCAACGGACAACGCGCCATTGGCACAAAATGGGTGTTCAAGATCAAGCGCAAGGCGGATGGATCCATCGAGAAGTACAAGGCACGACTTGTGGCCAAGGGTTTTCCGCCAAAAGTATGGAATCGACTACACGGAGACGTTTTCTCCCGTGGTCAAGCATGTGACGCTGAGAATGGTGATCGCAATTTCCAAGCATTTTGGATGGCCCATCGACCAGCTTGATGTGGTGACAGCTTTCCTGTATGGCGTCATGAAGGAACAAGTGTTCTGCGTGATTCCTGAAGGCGTCGAACTTGACAGTACGTTCGACTGCCTGGAATTGGTGAAGGCAATTTACGGCCTGAAGCAAGCTTTGCGAGTATGGAACGAGACTTTCACGAGACTTTTGACGAGTGTGTGTTCCATTGGATTTCAAGTGTCAGGCTTCGACCCATGTCTCTACATCAAGACTTCGGACGGCCATTGCGTGTTTATACTGGTCTACGTGGACGACGTCTTGGTGACTGGAAGCTCGCTCGAGCTGATTGCACAAACCAAGAACGACCTGAAGACGCGGTTCGAAATGACGGACAGCGGCAAGTGTGCGTTTGTTCTTGGGATCGAGCTTTTGGACGGTGAAGATGGCAGTGTGACACTATGTCTGTTGCATTGTAGATCGGAGCGAGGAAAGCGGAGCGAACGGAGCGGAGAGACCGAAGAGAGTAGAGCAGAAAACACTTGCCCAATAGTTGGAAGATTCGAAAGTGATTGATTATCGGGGCTTACTACTTACTACATGATTTATATGTGGTGTACATATAAATCATGTGAAGCGTCTCATCATCCTACGCGTCTAATCAACTATGGTAATTACCGTAAGAACTACGTCGTAAATACTAAGCTGAACAGGCGGTTCGGATTGGATCGGTCACGGTTACCAATACTGGTAGAAAACCGATGACCGTCAACAAAGGCATATCGTGTTTATGACATCGAGGCGGGGCAGGTGGCTATCAGCCGCGGAATCAACTTCGACGAGTCCACCTTTGGACTTCAACTGCCGATCACTGATGAAGATGTCGATGACCTGGACTTCGAATTGCTGGATCTTGATGACGAAGAGCTGCGTCAAATGGAGTACAAGCAAACAGGCAAGCGCAAGAACCGACTCAATGATGAAGATACAGCAGCTCCACGACCGCGTGCAGTGCGTCAACGACCAGGACTAGAAGAGTCAAGCGCGCCGGAAAACAACTCGTCACGCCAAGAAGAAGACGAAGAAACGAAGGATTCTGGTGATTCAACACCGCCTGTGTTTTGGCGTGCGAGTGCAAATGCCGTTGAAGCAGCAGTGGACTTATCAGAGCCCTCAACATTTGAAGCAGCAGTAAGCGGCCCTGACCAAGTGCACTGGAGAAAAGCAATTCATGCAGAGCTCGAGTCAATGCGACTTCGCGGTGTGTTTCGTGCAGCCAAGCTGCCCAACGGACAACGCGCCATTGGCACAAAATGGGTGTTCAAGATCAAGCGCAAGGCGGATGGATCCATCGAGAAGTACAAGGCACGTCTCGCGGCAAAGGGCTTTCGCTCGAAGTATGGAATCGACTACACGGAGACGTTTTCTCCCGTGGTCAAGCATGTGACGCTGAGAATGGTGATCGCAATTTCCAAGCATTTTGGATGGCCCATCGACCAGCTTGATGTGGTGACAGCTTTCCTGTATGGCGTCATGAAGGAACAAGTGTTCTGCGTGATTCCTGAAGGCGTCGAACTTGACAGTACGTTCGACTGCCTGGAATTGGTGAAGGCAATTTACGGCCTGAAGCAAGCTTTGCGAGTATGGAACGAGACGTTCGACGAGTATGTGTGCTCCATCGGATTTCAAGTATCGGACTTCGACCCATGTCTCTACATCAAGACTTCGGACGGCCATTGCGTGTTTATACTGGTCTACGTGGACGACGCCTTGGTGACTGGAAGCTCACTCGAGCTGATTGCACAAACCAAGAACGACCTGAAGACGCGGTTCGAAATGACGGACAGCGGCAAGTGTGCGTTTTTTCTTGGGATCGAGCTTTTGGACGGTGAAGATGGCAGTGTGACACTATGTCTGTTGCATTGTAGATCGGAGCGAGGAAAGCGGAGCGAACGGAGCGGAGAGACCGAAGAGAGTAGAGCAGAAAACACTTGCCCAATAGTTGGAAGATTCGAAAGTGATTGATTATCGGGGCTTACTACTTACTACATGATTTATATGTGGTGTACATATAAATCATGTGAAGCGTCTCATCATCCTACGCGTCTAATCAACTATGGTAATTACCGTAAGAACTACGTCGTAAATACTAAGCTGAACAGGCGGTTCGGATTGGATCGGTCACGGTTACCAATACTGGTAGAAAACCGATGACCGTCAACACGCCCCCTCAATCCGAATGCTCACGAATCCCGAGAGCCGTCGTCATCTGTTGAAAAGACAGCGGCGGTGAAGAAGACACCTCGTCAAGCTGCGTCAAGTGTTGAATCAAGTGGAAGACCAAGCTTCGCTATACCGGTGGGTACCGGTATGTACCAGTAAGGGCGAAGTCAGGAAATGACGTCATTGCATGACGTCACTGCGAATAATAGGCTTAGAGGTAGTATTCAAAGTTGCGAACTAAGTACCTATTATAAATATATATTCACTTTGCGTTTTGCACTCGGACCAAGAAGTCTAAAGTTCATCAGGTTATGAGCCCAAGTTCGTCAGACTCTGAAACCGCCAACAATTCAAGCTTAGCTGCCATGGACGCCTCCTCCCTCCGCATCTCCAAGTTCGATGGAACTAACTTCCACGCCTGGAAGTTCAAGATGCAGATGGTGCTGGAGGAACGGGACCTATGGGGAGGTCGTCAGCGGTGAGATCAAGGCGGAACAGTGCGAGACTCAGTTGGACCAAGCGACGTACAAGAGGAAGTCAAGAAAGGCGATGGCAGTGATCTGTCTAGCCATGGAAGATTCCCAGCTACCGTTGGTCCGGTCGGCAAGTGGTGCATGCGACGCATGGTCAAGGTTGGAAGACCACTTCGAGAAGAAGAGTCTTGCCAACAAGCTGTTCTTGCGCCGTCGCTTCTTCACGACAATGATGGAAGAAGGCGACGATGTGCTCGAACACATCAACAAGCTCAAGACGCTGGCGGAACAGCTAGAAGCGGTGGGGGGCTCCAGTCTGCGAGGACGATCTGGTGATCACACTTCTCGGCAGCCTGAGTGACTCGTATCAATTCTTGATCACAGCTTTGGAGTCGCGCTCAGACACTCTTAGCTGGGAGCTCGTGACATCTCGACTGCTTCATGAAGAAATGAAGCGGAAGGAGCAAGGAAGTAAAGGTGATGAAGCTTCGCAAGGTCAAGCGTTCATCACAAGGGACAATCAGCGCAAAGGGCGACCAGTGAAGAAGTCCTGGCCGTGCCACAATTGCGGAAAGATTGGTCACTGGATGGCGGAGTGCCCCTCGCGCATCCAAGAAAACACGGAGAGACACCGGCCACAGCGTGCTCAAGACAGCGGCGACCGCTATCGATCACAACGTGCAAACGTCGCTCAAGAAGAAGACTCGGGAGACTACCTCTTTTCGATCGGTGAAACGACATCTGCGAAATCGAGCGACATCTGGCTGGTCGACTCCGGGGCGACGCAGCACATGACGTGCTCCAAGAAGTTCATGCGGAACTACAAGGGGGTTTGACGCTGTGGATGTCCATCTCGCGGATGATGGAATCGTCCAAGCAATCGGCAGTGGGGACATTGTCATGTCGATGAAGACACCCCAAGGGATGAAGAAAGGTGTGCTCACAAACGTGTGGCACATCCCAAAGTTATCCAGAAACCTGTTCTCGGTCGGCCGCTTCACCAAGGATGTCGGCCCAGTGACGTTCACGAAGGATGGGTGCTATGGAAAAGCGAAAGGGACCAAGTGGAAAATTGGCGCCCGTGAAGGTAAAGGACTGTTCAAGCTGCAAATGACTCCAGTGGCGCCGGAACAAGCAAATGCAGCCAAGTCGTCGGGATGTCAAGGGGGCACCAAGTCGTACCTCTGGCACCTTCGGCTTGGCCACATAGGTCACGATGGACTCAATTGCATCGTGACGAAGAACATTGGAATTGGCATCGACATATCTTCGGTGAAGAAGTGGGACGTGTGTGAAGGTTGTGCTCTGGGAAAACAGACTCGAGTGCGCTTCCAATCAAACACTACAGCTCGCACCTCCAAACTCCTCGAAGTGATTCACAGCGACGTATGCGGACCGATGTCGATGGCAACTTTCAGTGGAAAACGGTACTTCGTGACATTCATCGATGACAAGTCAAGATACTGTGTCGTCTATCTGCTCAAGAGCAAATCTGAAGTTGCGGCGAAGTTCATGGAATACGCTGCGATGGCCGAAACGCAAACCGGAAAGCGCGTGAAGTACCTTCAAAGCGACAATGGGGGGTGAATACAAGTCCGACAAGCTGGCACGATTCTGCGCGGAACGGGGAATACAACAAAGGTTCACACCCCCATATACTCCTCAGCTAAACGGAGTAGCTGAGAGAATGAATCGCACGCTGGTCGAGTGTGCGCGTTGCATGATGGAACACGCTGGACTGGGAAAGAGCTACTGGGGTGAAGCAGTGATGACGGCGATGTTTCTTCGAAACCGCTGTCCAACACGTGCCATTCACCAAGACAAGTCTCCATATCAAGTGTGGACGATGAAGAAACCGATTCTGGCCAACCTTAAAGTGTTTGGATGCCACGCGTATGTTCAAGTGCCTCAAGACAAACGCGCGAAGTTCGACTCCAAGTCATCACTCTGTCGTTTCCTGGGATACGCCGAACACCAGAAGTCATATCGATTTGAGGAAGTGTCAACAGGAGCGATCAAGATCAGTCGCGATGCCACATTCATGGAAGACAAGTTTGATGAAGGTCCGCGCAACTACAACGATGAGTCAAGTGCCGTTGAGTTTGATGATCAAGACGAGGACGAAGAAAAAGAAGAAGGTAAAACTGACGACGACATGGACTCGAGCGACGATGACAACGAAGACACCAGGTCTTCGAAGAGCAACATCAAGAGACACACGCGCACTCAATCACTTGAGAAAGCTACCGTCATTCCAAGTCCCAAGCGAAGAACGTACAGAGGTCCGTCGCTTGAGCATGTGTCAGCGGCTGCAATGGATTTTGAAGCAGCCTACATCGTTGATTCAGTGGGGAAACGCCGACTACATTCAAGTCGGCGATGGAATCAAGCGACTCCGGCAAGTGGAAAGAAGCGTGTGACTCGGAGTTCGACTCGCTTCAGAGAAACGACACGTGGGAAATCGTGCCTCTTCCGAAAGGTCGCAAGGCCATCGGGTGCCGATGGGTTTTTCGTGTAAAGGAGAATCAAGATGGCGAAGTTGAACGTTTCAAGGCAAGACTTGTGGCCAAAGGATTCTCACAGAAATTCGGAGTTGACTATGAAGAAACTTTCGCACCGGTGGCCAAGTTCACATCGATTCGTGTGGTGCTCAGTATGGCGGCCAAGTACGGCCTAATGCTACATCAGATGGACGTCAAGACAGCGTTTCTTAACGGCTCCCTCAACGAAGACATCTACATGGACCAGCCGGACGGATACCTGGATGCAACACAGCCGGACTATGTGTGCAAGCTAAAGAGATCACTCTACGGCTTGAAGCAATCGCCTCGCATGTGGAACCAAACAATCGATGGGTTCATGATCAAGATGGGATTCAAGAAGTGCGAATCGGACCACTGCATTTACATCAAGCGAGACGACCAAGACATGATTCTCGTGGTGCTCTACGTCGATGATCTCATCCTGGCCAGCAGCAACAATGAACTCCTCAAGTCGACCAAGATGGCGCTGAGCAAACGCTTCGAAATGACGGATCTCGGTGAGCTCGATTACTTTCTCGGCATGGAGATCAAGAACGACCGTAAGACGGGAATGGTGACTGTGCAACAAACCAAGTTTCTCAAGTCCGTGTTGACCAAGTTCGGAATGGATAACAGCAAGCCAGTGAAGACGCCTCAAGATCCCGGCCTGAAGCTAACCAAGAACATGTGTGAACAAGAATGCAAGCACGAAGACACCATGTGCAACGTGCCATATCGAAGTGCTGTCGGAGGCATCATGTATCTCATGGTCGCCACACGTCCGGATCTAGCTGCTGCAGTGGGATCATTATCCCAGTTCTCGTCCGACCCATGCCCGACTCACTGGCAAGCTTTGAAGCGTGTGCTGAGATACCTGCAAGCAACGCCCAATCATGGTCTTGAGTTTACACGTGAAGAAGGAAGCCGTATCTGCGGGTACACCGACGCAGACTGGGCCGGCGACATTGAGTCAAGACGAAGTACAAGCGGCTATGTGTTCATGATGAACGGAGGATGCATCAGCTGGAAAAGCCAGAAACAACGGACGGTCGCGCTATCTTCAACAGAAGCAGAATACATGGCGCTTTCCGAAGCAACCAAAGAAGCAGTATGGCTCAAAGTGCTTTTGGGGAACTTGGTGAGATGACAAGCGACGAAGCGATCAAGATGTATGAAGACAACCAAGGATCAATCGCTCTCGCCAATAACCCGGAGTTCCATAAGAGAACAAAACACATCGACATACGCTACCATTTTGTGCGTGAGAAGGTGGAATCAGGTGAAGTCGTTTTGGAGTATTGCCCGACTCAAGATATGCTGGCAGACATGATGACCAAGCCGATCGCCGCTGTACAATTTGAAAACATTCGCGATCGACTTGGGATCCAAGGTGCCGCAGCTAACGAGTCGAGAGGGAGTGTTGAAAAGACAGCGGCTGTGAAGAAGACACCTCGTCAAGCTGCGTCAAGTGTTGAAGCAAGTGGAAGACCAAGCTTCGCTATACCGGTGGGTACCGGTATGTACCAGTAAGGGCGAAGTCAGGAAATGACGTCATTGCATGACGTCACTGCGAATAATAGGCTTAGAGGTAGTATTCAAAGTTGCGAACTAAGTACCTATTATAAATATATATTCACTTTGCGTTTTGCACTCGGACCAAGAAGTCTAAAGTTCATCATCATCTCCTTGTGGCGTGGTCCATGAAGTCCCTTCGTCATGATGTCCGCTAACATCACCGCAGTTTCACAGTACTTGAGCTTCACTTCACCGCGCTTGACCTCATCACGGATGTGATGGTACTTGATATCAATGTGCTTGGCACGGCCGTGGTTGACTGGGTTCTTCGTCATCTTGATACATGACTGATTGTCTTCATGAATCATGAGTTCCGGTCCTTCTTCATTGGCAGCCATCACGATCTCACAAAGCAGACGATGAATCCACTTGCCCTCTTGAATCGCCAAGCTGAGTGCGATGTATTCGGCTTCACTCGTGGACAACGAAACACTTGGCTGCTTCTTGCTGCCCCAACTGACTGGCGCACCGAGTAGCATGAACGTGTACCCCGATGTTGACTTGCGGTCGGTAAGATCACCAGCCCAATCCGCATCCGAATATCCACGGAAGTCGATCCTTGCACTTGGCTTGTAGCAAATTCCATGCATCTTGGTACCTTGTAGGTAGCGAAAGATACGCTTAACTGCAACCCAGTGTTCTTCTTGGGGATTTTCCATGAACCGCGACACATAGCCCACAGCAAACGCAATGTCCGGACGCGTTGCAGTGGTCAGGTGCATCAACGCACCAACAGCTTCGCGAAAAGGAGCATCGACCTTGGTAGCTGCATCGCTTGAAACGAGTCGAGAGTCATGTCCACTGGACTTGACACAGCCTTGCAATCACTCATGCTAAATCGCTTGAGTAGGTCATCCACATACCTGCGCTGACACAATGTAACGCTTCCATCTTCTCCATTCAAAAGCTCAATTCCAAGAACAAATGCACACTTGCCGCTATCAGTCATCTCGAAGCGTGTCTTCAGGTCTTCCTTGGTGTGTGCAATCAACTTGGGTGAGCTTCCTGTCACCAACACGTCATCCACATAGACCAAAATTAATACGCACTGGTCTTCCATAATCTTGATGTAGAGACATGGGTCGAAGCCTGACACTTGAAATCCAATGGAACACACACTCGTCAAAAGTCTCGTTCCATACTCGCAAAGCTTGCTTCAGGCCGTAAATTGCCTTCACCAATTCGAGACAGTCGAACGTACTGTCAAGTTCGACGCCTTCAGGAATCACGCAAAACACTTGCTCCTTCATGACGCCATACAGGAAAGCTGTCACCACATCAAGCTGGTCGATGGGCCATCCAAAATGCTTGGAAATTGCGATCACCATTCTCAGCGTCACATGCTTGACCACGGGAGAAAACGTCTCCGTGTAGTCGATTCCATACTTCGAGCGAAAGCCCTTTGCCGCGAGACGTGCCTTGTACTTCTCGATAGATCCATCCGCCTTGCGCTTGATCTTGAACACCCATTTTGTGCCAATGGCGCGTTGTCCGTTGGGCAGCTTGGCTGCACGAAACACACCGCGAAGTCGCATTGACTCGAGCTCTGCATGAATTGCTTTTCTCCAGTGCACTTGGTCAGGGCCGCTTACTGCTGCTTCAAATGTTGAGGGCTCTGATAAGTCCACTGCTGCTTCAACGGCATTTGCACTCGCACGCCAAAACACAGGCGGTGTTGAATCACCAGAATCCTTCGTTTCTTCGTCTTCTTCTTGGCGTGACGAGTTGTTTTCCGGCGCGCTTGACTCTTCTAGTCCTGGTCGTTGACGCACTGCACGCGGTCGTGGAGCTGCTGTATCTTCATCATTGAGTCGGTTCTTGCGCTTGCCTGTTTGCTTGTACTCCATTTGACGCAGCTCTTCGTCATCAAGATCCAGCAATTCGAAGTCCAGGTCATCGACATCTTCATCAGTGATCGGCAGTTGAAGTCCAAAGGTGGACTCGTCGAAGTTGACATCGCGGCTGATAACCACCTGCCCCGCCTCGATGTCATAAACACGATATGCCTTCGAAACTTGTTCGTAGCCCACGAATATGCCAGCGCGAGCCTTTGGATCCCACTTGAGTCGATTCTCTTTAGGCGTCAGTATGTATGTCTGACACCCGAATGTTCGCATGTGCTTGACGCTTGGTTTCAAGTTGTAGACGATCTCAAACGGGGTCTTGTGCACGACTTTAGGTGACGGCAGTCGATTCTTGACGTAGATGGCCGTCATCGCTGCTTCGGCCCAGAAACACTTGTCCAGTTTGGCATGATGAAGCATGCTGCGGCCGATCGTGACAATAGTCCTAATGGCACGCTCTGCTGTTCCGTTTGTTTGATGTGCATACGGCACCGTTGTCTGCTGTTCAATGCCTTCGTCTTCGTAGAACAGTTGAAGCGAGTTGGTTGCAAACTCGCGAGCTCCGTCGTGTCGCACGAACTTGACCTTCTTACAGAATTGCGTCTGTACCATGGTGATATATTTCCGGATGTAGTCTTCACTCTCGGACTTCACTCGTAGACAAAAGCCCTTCATGCATCCACTGGCTTCGTCGATGATCAGCAGCAAATATTTGCTGCCACCGAGCGAATCCTTTTCCATGGGCCCGCAGATGTCCAGATGAAGTAGCTCAAACGTATCGTAGCTGCGCTTGTCTCGGTTGCTTGGAAATGGTTTTTGGACCATTTTCCCTTGTTGACATCCTCGACATGTAGTTGCTCCACCCGACTTGAGAGGGACTCGCACATCCTTGATCATGTTGGTCGCGATCATCTTGCGAAGTACATCGACTGGAGCATGACCCATTCTCGCATGTAGATCGGCACAACTGGTTCCACTTGTTGTCACATTCGCTGATCGTTGAGTCGTCCGAAGCCAGTAGAGTCCATCCACGAGATCCGCTGTCGCCACCACTTGCTGTGAGTTCTTGAGAGTCACATACATCTTGGACCCGTCAAACACGACTTGAAACTTGCCATGGCTGTTAATCTGTGGTACCGAGAGCAGGTTCTTGCTCATACTTGGAACATATAGCGCGTTCTTGATTTCGATCTCACGCTCTTCACCGTTGGGCAGAACCACCTTTTCCATGATGGTTCCCACACCCTTGATGGCCACCTTGTTGCCATCAGCCACCAAGATTCGCCCTCATTGCGCTCTGCCAAACTTGCGAACTTGGTCTTGTCGTGGCAAATGTGGTGCGTTGCACCACTGTCGACGGCCCACATTCCAGACACGTCCATGCTCGTCGAAACTCCACATTCGAACGAGACTGCAAACGCCACTCGATCGTAGCCATTGCCTTCATCATGATGTCCCCACTGGACATTGTTAGCCCCCGCGTCCACGACCATTGCCGCCGCGTCGGGCTCCCCGACCTTCGTTCTTCTGCTTTGTCCAGCAACGATCCACCGTGTGTCCCACCTTGCCACAATACGTGCATTGGTAGGGCTCACGCTCGGCGCTGAATGCCTTGCTTGCATCTTCAGCCTTCACCGTAGTCGCTGTCGTTGTCCCTTTTTCTCCTTGACGCTTGGCATGCTCATTCGTCAGGACTCTCACCACATCTTGAGTGCGAAGCTCGGTGCTGCTCATTTCCATGTTGAGCACCACATTTTCGTAGCTCTTCGGAAGACTGAGTAGCAGACAAATTGCAACGTCTTCGTCTTCCATCTTCGCACCGATGCCGCTAAGCTTGGCGGAGATGTTGAGGACCTCGTTGCAGTGGTGCATGACGTTCGCGCCTTCAGCCATCTTGATACTGAAAAGTTGTCGCTTGAGGTAGATGCGTCCTGCCTTCTGCGACCCACCGTACAGCGTCTTCAGACTTGTCCACGCAACCCAGGCTTCCTCGCAGTTGTCCAGCACATGATGGTAGTCCGCGTTCATGTGCAGCAGCATCATACCAAACGCGACGTTGCTTGCCTTGACGTAGTCATCGGACGCTCGCGGGTCGGTGAAAGTCGGAGTCACTTCACGGTTGACGACGTGCCAGACGGACTTCGTCAAAAACACACCGCGCATGTACCGGCTCCACGTTGCGTAATTGTCTCCGTTGAACTTGTCAATGGAGGCGTTGCTGGTGGACGACATGGCGCTTGGGCTCATAACCTGTTGCATTGTAGATCGGAGCGAGGAAAGCGGAGCGAACGGAGCGGAGAGACCGAAGAGAGTAGAGCAGAAAACACTTGCCCAATAGTTGGAAGATTCGAAAGTGATTGATTATCGGGGCTTACTACTTACTACATGATTTATATGTGGTGTACATATAAATCATGTGAAGCGTCTCATCATCCTACGCGTCTAATCAACTATGGTAATTACCGTAAGAACTACGTCGTAAATACTAAGCTGAACAGGCGGTTCGGATTGGATCGGTCGCGGTTACCAATACTGGTAGAAAACCGATGACCGTCAACACGCCCCCTCAATCCGAATGCTCACGAATCCCGAGAGCCGTCGTCATCTCCTTGTGGCGTGGTCCATGAAGTCCCTTCGTCATGATGTCCGCTAACATCACCGCAGTTTCACAGTACTTGAGCTTCACTTCACCGCGCTTGACCTCATCACGGATGTGATGGTACTTGATATCAATGTGCTTGGCACGGCCGTGGTTGACTGGGTTCTTCGTCATCTTGATACATGACTGATTGTCTTCATGAATCATGAGTTCCGGTCCTTCTTCATTGGCAGCCATCACGATCTCACAAAGCAGACGATGAATCCACTTGCCCTCTTGAATCGCCAAGCTGAGTGCGATGTATTCGGCTTCACTCGTGGACAACGAAACACTTGGCTTCTTCTTGCTGCCCCAACTGACTGGCGCACCGAGTAGCATGAACGTGTACCCCGATGTTGACTTGCGGTCGGTAAGATCACCAGCCCAATCCGCATCCGAATATCCACGGAAGTCGATCCTTGCACTTGGCTTGTAGCAAATTCCATGCGTCTTGGTGCCTTGTAGGTAGCGAAAGATACGCTTAACTGCAACCCAGTGTTCTTCTTGGGGATTTTCCATGAACCGCGACACATAGCCCACAGCAAACGCAATGTCCGGACGCGTTGCAGTGGTCAGGTGCATCAACGCACCAACAGCTTCGCGAAAAGGAGCATCGACCTTGGTAGTTGCATCACTTGAAACAAGTCGAGAGCTCATGTCGACTGGACTTGCGACTGCCTTGCAATCATCCATGCCAAAGCGCTTGATGATATCATCGACATACCGACGCTGACATAGTGTCACACTGCCATCTTCACCGTCCAAAAGCTCGATCCCAAGAACAAACGCACACTTGCCGCTGTCCGTCATTTCGAACCGCGTCTTCAGGTCGTTCTTGGTTTGTGCAATCAGCTCGAGCGAGCTTCCAGTCACCAAGACGTCGTCCACGTAGACCAGTATAAACACGCAATGGCCGTCCGAAGTCTTGATGTAGAGACATGGGTCGAAGCCTGACACTTGAAATCCAATGGAACACACACTCGTCAAAAGTCTCGTTCCATACTCGCAAAGCTTGCTTCAGGCCGTAAATTGCCTTCACCAATTCCAGGCAGTCGAACGTACTGTCAAGTTCGACGCCTTCAGGAATCACGCAGAACACTTGTTCCTTCATGACGCCATACAGGAAAGCTGTCACCACATCAAGCTGGTCGATGGGCCATCCAAAATGCTTGGAAATTGCGATCACCATTCTCAGCGTCACATGCTTGACCACGGGAGAAAACGTCTCCGTGTAGTCGATTCCATACTTCGAGCGAAAGCCCTTTGCCGCGAGACGTGCCTTGTACTTCTCGATGGATCCATCCGCCTTGCGCTTGATCTTGAACACCCATTTTGTGCCAATGGCGCGTTGTCCGTTGGGCAGCTTGGCTGCACGAAACACACCGCGAAGTCGCATTGACTCGAGCTCTGCATGAATTGCTTTTCTCCAGTGCACTTGGTCAGGGCCGCTTACTGCTGCTTCAAATGTTGAGGGCTCTGATAAGTCCACTGCTGCTTCAACGGCATTTGCACTCGCACGCCAAAACACAGGCGGTGTTGAATCACCAGAATCCTTCGTTTCTTCGTCTTCTTCTTGGCGTGACGAGTTGTTTTCCGGCGCGCTTGACTCTTCTAGTCCTGGTCGTTGACGCACTGCACGCGGTCGTGGAGCTGCTGTATCTTCATCATTGAGTCGGTTCTTGCGCTTGCCTGTTTGCTTGTACTCCATTTGACGCAGCTCTTCGTCATCAAGATCCAGCAATTCGAAGTCCAGGTCATCGACATCTTCATCAGTGATCGGCAGTTGAAGTCCAAAGGTGGACTCGTCGAAGTTGATTCCGCGGCTGATAGCCACCTGCCCCGCCTCGATGTCATAAACACGATATGCCTTCGAAACTTGTTCGTAGCCCACGAATATGCCAGCGCGAGCCTTTGGATCCCACTTGAGTCGATTCTCTTTAGGCGTCAGTATGTATGTCTGACACCCGAATGTTCGCATGTGCTTGACGCTTGGTTTCAAGTTGTAGACGATCTCAAACGGGGTCTTGTGCACGACTTTAGGTGACGGCAGTCGATTCTTGACGTAGATGGCCGTCATCGCTGCTTCGGCCCAGAAACACTTGTCCAGTTTGGCATGATGAAGCATGCTGCGGCCGATCGTGACAATAGTCCTAATGGCACGCTCTGCTGTTCCGTTTGTTTGATGTGCATACGGCACCGTTGTCTGCTGTTCAATGCCTTCGTCTTCGTAGAACAGTTGAAGCGAGTTGGTTGCAAACTCGCGAGCTCCGTCGTGTCGCACGAACTTGACCTTCTTACAGAATTGCGTCTGTACCATGGTGATATATTTCCGGATGTAGTCTTCACTCTCGGACTTCACTCGTAGACAAAAGCCCTTCATGCACTCCACTGGCTTCGTCGATGATCAGCAGCAAATATTTGCTGCCACCGAGCGAATCCTTTTCCATGGGCCCGCAGATGTCCAGATGAAGTAGCTCAAACGTATCGTAGCTGCGCTTGTCTCGGTTGCTTGGAAATGGTTTTTGGACCATTTTCCCTTGTTGACATCCTCGACATGTAGTTGCTCCACCCGACTTGAGAGGGACTCGCACATCCTTGATCATGTTGGTCGCGATCATCTTGCGAAGTACATCGACTGGAGCAGGGTGACCCATTCTCGCATGTAGATCGGCACAACTGGTTCCACTTGTTGTCACATTCGCTGATCGTTGAGTCGTCCGAAGCCAGTAGAGTCCATCCACGAGATCCGCTGTCGCCACCACTTGCTGTGAGTTCTTGAGAGTCACATACATCTTGGACCCGTCAAACACGACTTGAAACTTGCCATGGCTGTTAATCTGTGGTACCGAGAGCAGGTTCTTGCTCATACTTGGAACATATAGCGCGTTCTTGATTTCGATCTCACGCTCTTCACCGTTGGGCAGAACCACCTTTTCCATGATGGTTCCCACACCCTTGATGGCCACCTTGTTGCCATCAGCCACCAAGATTCGCCCTCATTGCGCTCTGCCAAACTTGCGAACTTGGTCTTGTCGTGGCAAATGTGGTGCGTTGCACCACTGTCGACGGCCCACATTCCAGACACGTCCATGCTCGTCGAAACTCCACATTCGAACGAGACTGCAAACGCCACTCGATCGTAGCCATTACCTTCATCATGATGTCCCCACTGGACATTGTTTGCCCCCGCGTCCACGACCATTGCCGCCGCGTCGGGCTCCCCGACCTTCGTTCTTCTGCTTTGTCCAGCAACGATCCACCGTGTGTCCCACCTTGCCACAATACGTGCATTGGTAGGGCTCACGCTCGGCGCTGAATGCCTTGCTTGCATCTTCAGCCTTCACCGTAGTCGCTGTCGTTGTCCCTTTTTTCTCCTTGACGCTTGGCATGCTCATTCGTCAGGACTCTCACCACATCTTGGGTGCGAAGCTCGGTGCTGCTCATTTCCATGTTGAGCACCACATTTTCGTAGCTCTTCGGAAGACTAAGTAGCAGACAAATTGCAACGTCTTCGTCTTCCATCTTCGCACCGATGCCGCTAAGCTTGGCGGAGATGTTGAGGACCTCGTTGCAGTGGTGCATGACGTTCGCGCCTTCAGCCATCTTGGTACTGAAAAGTTGTCGCTTGAGGTAGGTGCGTCCTGCCTTCTGCGACCCACCGTACAGCGTCTTCAGACTTGTCCACGCAACCCAGGCTTCCTCGCAGTTGTCCAGCACATGGTGGTAGTCCGCGTTCATGTGCAGCAGCATCATACCAAACGCGACGTTGCTTGCCTTGACGTAGTCATCGGACGCTCGCGGGTCGGTGAAAGTCGGGGTCACTTCACGGTTGACGACGTGCCAGACGGACTTCGTCAAAAACACACCGCGCATGTACCGGCTCCACGTTGCGTAATTGTCTCCGTTGAACTTGTCAATGGAGGCGTTGCTGGTGGACGACATGGCGCTTGGGCTCATAACCTGTTGCATTGGAGATCGGAGCGAGGAAAGCGGAGCGAACGGAGCGGAGAGACTGTTGTAACTTGAGCGCGAGGCGAAGAGAAAACGAAGCGGAGAGACCGGAGAGAACGAAGCAGAGAACACTTGCTCACTTGAGGGAGGATTCGAAAGTGATTGATTTATAGGTCTTAACTTCTGCCTACCCTAGACTGCATCCAATCACATGGTGCATCTAATCAACCTGATTTACACGCGTCCAATCATCCTACGCGTCTAATCATCTCTGAAGTAATTACCGATGTAAAAACTATCTCGTAAGAACTACGCGCTAGGTTCGGATTGTACCGGTAACCCTCAATACGCCCCCTCAATCCGAACACGCACGGATGCCAAGCGCCGCCGTCAAGTCCTTGTGACGCGGTCCGTGAAGTCCCTTCGTCATGATGTCCGCCAACATCAACGTCGTCTCGCAGTATTCAAGCTTCACTTCGCCGCGCTTGACTTCATCACGGATGTGATGGTACTTGATGTCGATGTGTTTAGCGCGGCCGTGGTTGACCGGATTCTTCGTCATCTTGATGCACGACTGGTTGTCTTCACGGATGACGAGCTCGGGTCCTTCTTCGTTTGCAGCCGCCATGATCTCGCACAGCAAGCGATTGATCCACTTGCCTTCTTGGATCGCCAGGCTGAGCGCGATGTACTCCGCTTCGCTTGTAGACAGTGACACACTTGGCTGTTTCTTGCTGCCCCAACTCACCGGAGCACCCAATAGCATGAAGACGTAGCCGGACGTCGATTTGCGATCAGCAAGGTCACCGGCCCAGTCTGCATCTGAATAGCCACGAAAGTCGATCTTCGCACTTGGCTTGTAGCAGATTCCATGCATCTTGGTGCCTTGTAGGTAGCGGAAGATGCGCTTGACTGCAACCCAGTGTTCTTCTTGGGGTTTCTCCATGAACCGTGACACAAAGCTTACAGCATAGGCGATGTCCGGTCGCGTTGCAGTCGTCAGATGCATCAAAGCACCCACTGCTTCACGGAATGGGACATCCACCTTGCTTGCAGAGTTGCTCGGAACCAGTCGAGAGCTGACGTCCACCGGACTTGCCACAGCCTTGCACTCATCCATTCCAAAGCGCTTGAGGACATCGTCGACATAACGGCGCTGACACATAGTCACGCTGCCATCTTCACCGTCCAATAACTCGATCCCAAGAACAAAGGCACACTTGCCGCTGTCCGTCATCTCGAAGCGTGTCTTGAGGTCGTTCTTGGTGCGCGCAATCATCTCGAGCGAGCTTCCAGTCACCAAGACATCGTCCACGTAGACCAGCACAAAAACACAATGGCCGTCCGAAGTCATGATGTAGAGACATGGATCGAATCCCGACGCTTGAAAACCAATCGAGCGTATGAACTCGTCGAAGGTCTCGTTCCAAACACGCGAGGCTTGTTTGAGACCGTAGATCGCCTTGATCAGCTCGAGACAGTCAAAATCACCTTCCATCTTGACGCCTTCCGGAACAGCGCAGAACACCTTCTCCTTCATCACTCCATACAGGAACGCAGTCACCACATCGAGCTGGTCGAGGGGCCATCCAAAGTGCTTGGAAATTGCGATCACCATTCGCAGCGTCACATACTTGACCACGGGCGAGAACGTCTCCGTGTAGTCGATGCCATACTTTTGGCGAAAACCCTTGGCCACAAGTCGTGCCTTGTATTTCTCGATCGACCCATCCGCCTTGCGCTTGATCTTGAAGACCCACTTTGTGCCAATGGCGCGTTGTCCGTTGGGCAGCTTGGCCGCACGAAAGACACCGCGAAGCTTCATCGAATCGAGCTCCGCATCAATTGCCTTGCGCCAGTGTACTTGGTCCGGGCCAGACACTGCTTCTTCAAATGTCGACGGCTCCGAAAAATCGACCGCTGCTTCGACGGCGTTTGCACTCGCATGCCAAAACGCGGAGGAAGTTGGTGTGTCATGTTGTTCCTCCGACTTCCTTTCTTCATCTTCGTTGGCTCGACGTGAAGAGAGGTCATCCGGCGCATTTGACTCTTCTAATCCGGGTCGTTGGCGCACTGCTCGGGGCATGCTTGCGTCGTCATTGTCGTGACTGGGTTGGGCCTTGCGCTTTCCTGTTTGTTTGAAGTGTCTCGGACGCGGTTCTTCATCATCAAGATCGATCGATTCGAAGTCCAGGCCATCAACATCGTCATCGGAAATCAGCATCGACATTCCAAAGGCCGACTCATCGAAGTTGACATCGCGACTTATCGTCACCTGCCCCGCTTCGATGTCATAAACTCGATACGCCTTGGACACTTCTTCGTAGCCCAAAAACAATCCAGCCCGGGCCTTGGGATCCCACTTGAGTCGTTTCTCCTTCGGGGTCAAGATGTATGCTTGGCACCCAAAAACGCGCATGTGTGCTTGACACTTGGCTTAGAATTGTAGACAATCTCGAACGGTGTCTTGTGTGGAATCTGTGCTTGACACTTGGCTTAGAATTGTAGACAATCTCGAACGGTGTCTTGTGTGGAATCTTGGGTGACGGCAAACGGTTCTTCACATAGACGGCCGTCATTGCCGCTTCAGCCCAGAAGCACTTGTCCAACTTGGCATGATGGAGCATGCTACGACCGATGGTGACGATAGTTCGAATCGCGCGTTCAGCAGTTCCATTGGCTTGATGTGCGTATGGCACCGTGGTTTGTTGCTCGATGCCTTCGACTTCGTAGAAATCTTGAAGCGAGTTCGTCGCAAACTCGCGGGCTCCATCGTGTCGCACAAATTTGACCTTCTTGTTGAACTGCGTCTGTATCATCGTGATGTACTTCTTGATGCACTCTTCGCTCTCTGACTTGGAATGCAGACAAAAACCCTTCATGCATCCGCTGGCTTCATCCACGATCAGCAGCAGATACTTGCTGCCACCCAGAGATTTTTCTTCCATGGGTCCGCAGATGTCGAAGTGGAGCATCTCGAAGGTGTTGTAGGTGCGCTTGTCACGGTTGCTCGGGAATGGTTTTTGGACCATCTTCCCTTCTTGGCATCCTAGACACACACTTGATCCATTCGGCTTGGAAGGGATGTGAGCGTCCTTGATCATGTGGCTTGTCACCATCCTGCGAAGCACGTCGACTGGAGCATGGCCCATTCGCGCATGTAGATCAACAGCGTTGCTGAGTGATGTCGCATTGGCCGATCGCTGCGTCGTGCGAAGCCAGTAGAGTCCGTCTACAAGATCCGCAGCTGCCACCACTTGATTGGAATCCTTGCGAGCGACGTACATCGTATCCCCGTCAAACACCACTTGGAAGTTGCCGTGCTTGTTAATCTGCGGCACCGAGAGCAGATTTTTGCTCATGCTGGGCACATAGAGCGCGTTCTTGATCTCGATCTCGCGCTCTTCCCCGTTTGGCAGAATCACCTTTTCCATGATGGTCCCCACACCTTTGATGGCCGCCTTGTTGCCATCAGCCACCAGGATCTCGCCATCATTGCCTTCGACCAAGCTTGCAAACTTGAACTTGTCATGGCAGATGTGATGTGCTGCCCCGCTGTCAACGGCCCACATTCCTGGTCCATTCTTGTTCGTCGAAACTCCGCATTCGAACGAAACTGCAAACGCCACTCGATCGTAGCTGTTGCCTTCATCATAATGTCGCCACTGGACATTGTTTGCCCCGCGTCCACGACCATTGCCGCCGCGTTGGGCTCCTCGACTTTCATCCTTTTGCTTCGTCCAGCAACGCTCTGCCGTGTGCCCCACCTTGCCGCAGTATGTGCATTGGAAGGGCTTGCGCTCGGTACTGAATGCCTTTGTCGCATCTTCAGTCTTCACCGTTGTCGTTGCCGTTGTCATCTTCTCGCCTTGTCGCTTGATGTGCTCGTTAGTCAGCACCTTGACCACATCTTGCGTGCGCAGCTCTGCATTGCTCATCTCCAAGTTCAGAACCACGTTCTCGAAACTCTTCGGGAGACTGAGCAGCAAGCAGATCGCAATGTCTTCGTCTTCCATCTTGGCACCGATGCTGCTGAGCTTGGCGCCGATGTTCAAGACTTCGTTGCAATGGTGCAAGACGTTGGCACCTTCCGCCATCTTGATGCTGAACAGCTGGCGCTTGAGGTAGATGCGTCCCGCCTTCTGCGACCCACCATAGAGCATCTTCAACCGCGACCACGCTGTCCATGCTTCTTCACAGTTGTCGACCACATGGTGGTAGTCGGCGTCCATGTGGAGCAACATCAACCCGAACGCGATGTTGCTCGCCTTGACGTACTCGTCGGAAGCTCGCGTGTCGGTGAAGGTTGGAGACGTTTCGCGGTTCACGACGTACCAGACTGACTTCGTCAGAAACACGCCGCGCATGTAGCGACACCAGGTTGAGTAGTTGTCCCCATCGAACTTATCGATGGAGACACTGGGCGAGGTGTTGTTGGACGACATGGCGCTTGGGCTCATAACCTGTTGTAACTTGAGCGCGAGGCGAAGAGAAAACGAAGCGGAGAGACCGGAGAGAACGAAGCAGAGAACACTTGCTCACTTGAGGGAGGATTCGAAAGTGATTGATTTATAGGTCTTAACTTCTGCCTACCCTAGACTGCATCCAATCACATGGTGCATCTAATCAACCTGATTTACACGCGTCCAATCATCCTACGCGTCTAATCATCTCTGAGGTAATTACCGATGTAAAAACTATCTCGTAAGAACTACGCGCTAGGTTCGGATTGTACCGGTAACCCTCAATAGAGACCGAAGAGAGTAGAGCAGAAAACACTTGCCCAATAGTTGGAAGATTCGAAAGTGATTGATTATCGGGGCTTACTACTTACTACATGATTTATATGTGGTGTACATATAAATCATGTGAAGCGTCTCATCATCCTACGCGTCTAATCAACTATGGTAATTACCGTAAGAACTACGTCGTAAATACTAAGCTGAACAGGCGGTTCGGATTGGATCGGTCACGGTTACCAATACTGGTAGAAAACCGATGACCGTCAACACGCCCCCTCAATCCGAATGCTCACGAATCCCGAGAGTCGCCGTCATCTCCTTGTGGCGTGACCCGTGAAGTCCCTTCGTCATGATGTCCGCTAACATCACCGCAGTTTCACAGTACTTGAGCTTCACTTCACCGCGCTTGACCTCATCACGGATGTGATGGTACTTGATATCAATGTGCTTGGCACGGCCGTGGTTGACTAGGTTCTTCGTCATCTTGATACACGACTGATTGTCTTCATGGATCATGAGTTCCGGTCCTTCTTCATTGGCAGCCATCACGATCTCACAAAGCAGACGATGAATCCACTTGCCCTCTTGAATCGCCAAGCTGAGTGCGATGTATTCGGCTTCACTCGTGGACAACGAAACACTTGGCTGCTTCTTGCTGCCCCAACTGACTGGCGCACCGAGTAGCATGAACGTGTACCCCGATGTTGACTTGCGGTCGGTAAGATCACCAGCCCAATCCGCATCCGAATATCCACGGAAGTCGATCCTTGCACTTGGCTTGTAGCAAATTCCATGCGTCTTGGTGCCTTGTAGGTAGCGAAAGATACGCTTAACTGCAACCCAGTGTTCTTCTTGGGGATTTTCCATGAACCGCGACACATAGCCCACAGCAAACGCAATGTCCGGACGCGTTGCAGTGGTCAGGTGCATCAACGCACCAACAGCTTCGCGAAAAGGAGCATCGACCTTGGTAGTTGCATCACTTGAAACAAGTCGAGAGCTCATGTCGACTGGACTTGCGACTGCCTTGCAATCATCCATGCCAAAGCGCTTGATGATATCATCGACATACCGACGCTGACATAGTGTCACACTGCCATCTTCACCGTCCAAAAGCTCGATCCCAGAACAAACGCACACTTGCCGCTGTCCGTCATTTCGAACCGCGTCTTCAGGTCGTTCTTGGTTTGTGCAATCAGCTCGAGTGAGCTTCCAGTCACCAAGACGTCGTCCACGTAGACCAGTATAAACACGCAATGGCCGTCCGAAGTCTTGATGTAGAGACATGGGTCGAAGTCCGATACTTGAAATCCGATGGAGCACACATACTCGTCGAACGTCTCGTTCCACACTCGCGACGCTTGCTTGAGGCCGTAAATTGACTTCACCAATTCCAGGCAGTCGAACGTACTGTCAAGTTCGACGCCTTCAGGAATCACGCAGAACACTTGTTCCTTCATGACGCCATACAGGAAAGCTGTCACCACATCAAGCTGGTCGATGGGCCATCCAAAATGCTTGGAAATTGCGATCACCATTCGCAGCGTCACATACTTGACCACAGGCGAAAACGTCTCCGTGTAGTCGATGCCATACTTTTGGCGGAAACCCTTGGCCACAAGTCGTGCCTTGTACTTCTCGATTGACCCATCCGCCTTGCGCTTGATCTTGAACACCCATTTTGTGCCAATGGCGCGTTGTCCGTTGGGCAGCTTGGCTGCACGAAACACACCGCGAAGTCGCATTGACTCGAGCTCTGCATGAATTGCTTTTCTCCAGTGCACTTGGTCAGGGCCGCTTACTGCTGCTTCAAATGTTGAGGGCTCTGATAAGTCCACTGCTGCTTCAACGGCATTTGCACTCGCACGCCAAAACACAGGCGGTGTTGAATCACCAGAATCCTTCGTTTCTTCGTCTTCTTCTTGTCGTGACGAGTTGTTTTCCGGCGCGCTTGACTCTTCTAGTCCTGGTCGTTGACGCACTGCACGCGGTCGTGGAGCTGCTGTATCTTCATCATTGAGTCGGTTCTTTCGCTTGCCTGTTTGCTTGTACTCCATTTGAAGCAGCTCTTCGTCATCAAGATCCAGCAATTCGAAGTCCAGGTCATCGACATCTTCATCAGTGATCGGCAGTTGAAGTCCAAAGGTGGACTCGTCGAAGTTGACATCGCGGCTGATAACCACCTGCCCCGCCTCGATGTCATAAACACGATATGCCTTCGAAACTTCTTCGTAGCCCACGAATATGCCAGCGCGAGCCTTTGGATCCCACTTGAGTCGATTCTCTTTAGGCGTCAGTATGTATGTCTGACACCCGAATGTTCGCATGTGCTTGACGCTTGGTTTCAAGTTGTAGACGATCTCAGACGGAGTCTTGTGCACGACTTTAGGTGACGGCAGTCGATTCTTGACGTAGATGGCCGTCATCGCTGCTTCGGCCCAGAAACACTTGTCCAGTTTGGCATGATGAAGCATGCTGCGGCCGATCGTGACAATATTCCTAATGGCACTCTCTGCTGTTCCGTTTGTTTGATGTGCATACGGCACCGTTGTCTGCTGTTCAATGCCTTCGTCTTCGTAGAACAGTTGTGATGAACTTTAGACTTCTTGGTCCGAGTGCAAAACGCAAAGTGAATATATATTTATAATAGGTACTTAGTTCGCAACTTTGAATACTACCTCTAAGCCTATTATTCGCAGTGACGTCATCCAGTGACGTCACCCACTGACGTCACCCACTGACGTCATGCAATGACGTCATCCAGTGACGTCATTTCCTGACTTCGCCCTTACTGGTACATACCGGTACCCACCGGTATAGCGAAGCTTGGTCTTCCACTTGCTTCAACACTTGACGCAGCTTGACGAGGTGTCTTCTTCACAGCCGCTGTCTTTTCAACACTCCCTCTCGACTCGTTAGCTGCGGCACCTTGGATCCCAAGTCGATCGCGAATGTTTTCAAATTGTACAGCGGCGATCGGCTTGGTCATCATGTCTGCCAGCATATCTTGAGTCGGGCAATACTCCAAAACGACTTCACCTGATTCCACCTTCTCACGCACAAAATGGTAGCGTATGTCGATGTGTTTTGTTCTCTTATGGAACTCCGGGTTCTTGGCGAGAGCGATTGATCCTTGGTTGTCTTCATACATCTTGATCGCTTCGTCGCTTGTCATCTCACCAAGTTCCCCCAAAAGCACTTTGAGCCATACTGCTTCTTTGGTTGCTTCGGAAAGCGCCATGTATTCTGCTTCTGTTGAAGATAGCGCGACCGTCCGTTGTTTCTGGCTTTTCCAGCTGATGCATCCTCCGCTCATCATGAACACATAGCCGCTTGTACTTCGTCTTGACTCAATGTCGCCGGCCCAGTCTGCGTCGGTGTGCCCGCAGATACGGCTTCCTTCTTCACGTGTAAACTCAAGACCATAATTGGGCGTTGCTTGCAGGTATCTCAGCACACGCTTCAAAGCTTGCCAGTGAGTCGGGCATGGGTCGGACGAGAACTGGGATAATGATCCCACTGCAGCAGCTAGATCCGGACGTGTGGCGACCATGAGATACATGATGCCTCCTCCGACAGCACTTCGATATGGCACGTTGCACATGGTGTCTTCGTGCTTGCATTCTTGTTCACACATGTTCTTGGTTAGCTTCAGGCCGGGATCTTGAGGCGTCTTCACTGGCTTGCTGTTATCCATTCCGAACTTGGTTAACACGGACTTGAGAAACTTGGTTTGTTGTACAGTCACCATTCCCGTCTTACGGTCGTTCTTGATCTCCATGCCGAGAAAGTAATCGAGCTCACCGAGATCCGTCATTTCGAAGCGTTTGCTCAGCGCCATCTTGGTTGACTTGAGGAGTTCGTTGTTGCTGCTGGCCAGGATGAGATCATCGACGTAGAGCACCACGAGAATCATGTCTTGGTCGTCTCGCTTGATGTAAATGCAGTGGTCCGATTCGCACTTCTTGAATCCCATCTTGATCATGAACCCATCGATTGTTTGGTTCCACATGCGAGGCGATTGCTTCAAGCCGTAGAGTGATCTCTTTAGCTTGCACACATAGTCCGGCTGTGTTGCATCCAGGTATCCGTCCGGCTGGTCCATGTAGATGTCTTCGTTGAGGGAGCCGTTAAGAAACGCTGTCTTGACGTCCATCTGATGTAGCATTAGGCCGTACTTAGCCGCCATACTGAGCACCACACGAATCGATGTGAACTTGGCCACCGGTGCGAAAGTTTCTTCATAGTCAACTCCGAATTTCTGTGAGAATCCTTTGGCCACAAGTCTTGCCTTGAAACGTTCAACTTCGCCATCTTGATTCTCCTTTACACGAAAAACCCATCGGCACCCGATGGCCTTGCGACCTTTCGGAAGAGGCACGATTTCCCACGTGTCGTTTCTCTGAAGCGAATCGAACTCCGAGTCACACGCTTCTTTCCACTTGCCGGAGTCGCTTGATTCCATCGCCGACTTGAATGTAGTCGGCGTTTCCCCCACTGAATCAACGATGTAGGCTGCTTCAAAATCCATTGCAGCCGCTGACACATGCTCAAGCGACGGACCTCTGTATGTTCTTCGCTTGGGACTTGGAATGACGGTAGCTTTCTCAAGTGATTGAGTGCGCGTGTGTCTCTTGATGTTGCTCTTCGAAGACCTGGTGTCTTCGTTGTCATCGTCGCTCGAGTCCATGTCGTCGTCAGTTTTACCTTCTTCTTTTTCTTCGTCCTCATCATGATCATCAAACTCAACGACACTTGACTCATCGTTGTAGTTGCGCGGACCTTCATCAAACTTGTCTTCCATGAATGTGGCATCGCGACTGATCTTGATCGCTCCTGTTGACACTTCCTCAAATCGATATGACTTCTGGTGTTCGGCGTATCCCAGGAAACGACAGAGTGATGACTTGGAGTCGAACTTCGCGCGTTTGTCTTGAGGCACTTGAACATACGCGTGGCATCCAAACACTTTAAGGTTGGCCAGAATCGGTTTCTTCATCGTCCACACTTGATATGGAGACTTGTCTTGGTGAATGGCACGTGTTGGACAGCGGTTTCGAAGAAACATCGCCGTCATCACTGCTTCACCCCAGTAGCTCTTTCCCAGTCCAGCGTGTTCCATCATGCAACGCGCACACTCGACCAGCGTGCGATTCATTCTCTCAGCTACTCCGTTTAGCTGAGGAGTATATGGGGGTGTGAACCTTTGTTGTATTCCCCGTTCCGCGCAGAATCGTGCCAGCTTGTCGGACTTGTATTCACCCCCATTGTCGCTTTGAAGGTACTTCACGCGCTTTCCGGTTTGCGTTTCGGCCATCGCAGCGTATTCCATGAACTTCGCCGCAACTTCAGATTTGCTCTTGAGCAGATAGACGACACAGTATCTTGACTTGTCATCAATGAATGTCACGAAGTACCGTTTTCCACTGAAAGTTGCCATCGACATCGGTCCGCATACGTCGCTGTGAATCACTTCGAGGAGTTTGGAGGTGCGAGCTGTAGTGTTTGATTGGAAGCGCACTCGAGTCTGTTTTCCCAGAGCACAACCTTCACACACGTCCCACTTCTTCACCGAAGATATGTCGATGCCAATTCAATGTTCTTCGTCACGATGCAATTGAGTCCATCGTGACCTATGTGGCCAAGCCGAAGGTGCCAGAGGTACGACTTGGTGCCCCCTTGACATCCCGACGACTTGGCTGCATTTGCTTGTTCCGGCGCCACTGGAGTCATTTGTGTTGAAAAGACAGCGGCTGTGAAGAAGACACCTCGTCAAGCTGCGTCAAGTGTTGAAGCAAGTGGAAGACCAAGCTTCGCTATACCGGTGGGTACCGGTATGTACCAGTAAGGGCGAAGTCAGGAAATGACGTCACTGGATGACGTCATTGCATGACGTCAGTGGGTGACGTCACTGGATGACGTCACTGCGAATAATAGGCTTAGAGGTAGTATTCAAAGTTGCGAACTAAGTACCTATTATAAATATATATTCACTTTGCGTTTTGCACTCGGACCAAGAAGTCTAAAGTTCATCAGGTTATGAGCCCAAGTTCGTCAGACTCTGAAACCGCCAACAATTCAAGCTTAGCTGCCATGGACGCCTCCTCCCTCCGCATCTCCAAGTTCGATGGAACTAACTTCCACGCCTGGAAGTTCAAGATGCAGATGGTGCTGGAGGAACGGGACCTATGGGAGGTCGTCAGCGGTGAGATCAAGGCGGAACAGTGCGAGACTCAGTTGGACCAAGCGACGTACAAGAGGAAGTCAAGAAAGGCGATGGCAGTGATCTGTCTAGCCATGGAAGATTCCCAGCTACCGTTGGTCCGGTCGGCAAGTGGTGCATGCGACGCATGGTCAAGGTTGGAAGACCACTTCGAGAAGAAGAGTCTTGCCAACAAGCTGTTCTTGCGCCGTCGCTTCTTCACGACAATGATGGAAGAAGGCGACGATGTGCTCGAACACATCAACAAGCTCAAGACGCTGGCGGAACAGCTAGAAGCGGTGGGGGCTCCAGTCTGCGAGGAC